TGGACTCGGCCAGAGGTTCGGTGTGGTACTCGGCGTTCGGTTCTGGGAGGGACTCGTCGTAGGACTTGCTAATGGGTTCTTCGTTGGACTCGGCCGGAGGTTCGGTGTGGTACCCGGCGTTCGATTCTGGGAGGGACTCGTCGTGGGGCTTGGTGATTGGTTCTTCGTTGAACTCGATGAGCGGCTCGGCGTGGGATTCGGTGGCGGGTTTGGAGTGGGACTCGGGCAGGGATTCGTCGAGGGGCTCATTGTGAGACTCGCTGCAAGACTCTGCGTGGGACTGGCTGAGGGGCGCCCCCTGGCACCCTTGCGCCAACTTTACTGACACACTTGATTTGTTTCCTGCATGCGACTCCACCGAATCCGTCGTCTGCGTCTGGAGTTCGACACGAGGGTCAGGTTTTCTCGTCTCAGGATGTGGAAGGGGCTCTACTTGGCGCGTCGTCAGGCGTGAGGGTCTGGGGTGGCTTTCGACCTGCGGGCCCTCCTTCTCCCCGGAGCTGGCCTCGATCGCCGCAACCATGTCCCGCACCTTGGACCTCCTGCGCGGCTGTACGACTGGGCACGGAGCCTCTCGTGTTTCTTGGGGCTCAGCAATCGAATCAGCCGGCGCCTCACTGACCTTGCTCTCTTCTTGATTGTACGAAACCACTACCTCCTCGGCAGTCTTTGTCACCTCTAGAGCCACATCTTGGACGTGGGGCGGCCGTTGCTCAGATGGTAGGGAAGCGACCACTCCTGTAGAAATTTCATCTTTCGCTGCTTTCACCTGCTCGTCCGTAAAGCCAAGGACGATTTTTTGTGATTTTGGCGAGCTTCCTGTCAGATGGACAGTTGCTATTTCAGGAGAGGCACTTATCGGCGTTGACTTAACCGATGTGGCCTTACTTGTGGACGGGGTGTCATTTTCACCGGGTTCTCCCTCTTGTGCTGTTGCTTCTAGAAGAGGTGAGGCTTCCTGTAGCTCTGCGCGCTCCTCTGCGGGCTCCGATTGGACTGGCTCTTCTTCTAGCTCGACGTTCGGGCTAGAATAATTTTCCTCTGGGCCTCTTACTCCTGAAGGATCAGCTTCAGGGACATTTTGCTCCTTTGGGGCTGTAGGTTCTGTATGCTCAATCTGTAGGCTAATGACTCCTATTGGGTCAATGTTTTCCTGTACTGATCCGATTTGTGGGCTGGTCGTTTCTTTTAAGCAGGCCGTCCCTTCTAAATTTTCCACGTCGATGCCCGTGGTTTTCTCTGAGGCGAAGTGATTTTCTGTGGGTTCCTTTAGGCCGATGTTTACCTCTGGGGCTACCACATCTTCATCCTGGATATTCAAATCAGGGGTTCCCTGTTGGAGTGTCTCGTTTGCTGAATGTGCCTCTACGTCAGCGGATTGGTCGACGCCTTCACACGACCCTTTTTCATTAACTACCTGTGCCCTTTGCACTGACTTTTCTGTAAGCTCCGTATTGTTGCTCATCATGTCCGACTCCTCAGTTGTAGCCTCTCCACGTGGGACAGTGTCCTCCATATCCTTCTCCTCCCCACGGACGTTGTTTTCCACCCGGGTCTCCACAAGGGCTGTAAGTTGGTGTTTCTCAATCTCTTCGTTATCCGTTGCTGCTACCTGATCTTCAGTGGCGGACCCCGCAGCATTCTGCTGTGCGGTGGCCTCAGCACTTTGGTCTGATCTATCGACGGAGATGGATTGCTCAGGCTGCACATCAGCCGGCTTCTTGGGACGCTCAGCTGCCTGGTCCGTCACCTCCAACGACGGGGTGGTTTCGGCCCCGACGGCTTCCTTGCTCTGCTCGGACACCCTCTGCTCCGCCTCCTCGGCGGGGGCTTCAGCACACGAGTTCGTGACCTCCATCGAGGTAGTGTCCGAGATAACCCTTTGCTCCGACAGATACCCACTTTTCTCTCCAGCCTGCTCAGCAATCTGTCCAGTTACTTTCGCACTGGTGTTGGGCGAGATGTCCAGTACCTCCGACCCCTCCTCACCCTCTCCTCCGATCTGTTTTGGATCTTGTACCGCGACCTCCACTGAGGTGGTGTCCGATATGACGCTTTGCACCCTCACGCCCTCACCATCTCCTTCGGCCTGTTCAGCACCCTGCCCCACGACCGATATGATTCTTTGCTCCGTCACCCCTTCACCCTCTCTTCTGATCTCCTCAGCACCCTGTCCCACGACATCCACTGGGGTAGTGACCGATATGATGCTTTGCTC